TTCGCGAAGATGTCGCGGCCATCTTTCACATCGACGCGGTGGTCTCCAAAGCTAACCCTTTTAGCTTGCTATCTGGCCCCCATCTCTCAAACCACTAAGAAAACAGCGCACACCCCTCACTTCGCTCACGCATGTCTCCCCCCGATTCCACCAGCAGCGCCATCCTCTTCAGCAAACTTTTCCACACCCAAAAGCGTGCACCCCTCTACGTACTCCGCCCGGCTGCATCCGCCCGGATGAGAGAGAAGCAAGGGGAGACAAGAAAGAGAGACAAGAGGCGAGGAGGGCGGGAGAGGAGAGGAGAGGGGCAAGAGATCAAATTGATAAGAAATACAGGAGGGAAGGGCGCGGCGGGGGGCTTTGTTTTTCTTGGTTTATGCTGTCTTGCCTTTTCTTGTGCAGTGTGGGCCATGGCCATCAGTTCAAGCCAATGCAAGCCCACACGCTGGGAATCGTTAACATGTGTGAGCAGAATCAATAGCGAAGCCCGAGGGGATGCAAGAAAATAAACGAAAAGAACCACACGAGGGAAAAAAGCAGCCACAGCAACCCAATGGAACAAAGAGAAGAAAAAACCAGAAAAACAAGCGCGAAAAGCAAGAGCCCAGCGCTATCGACAGTCAGCAGATTCTTAAAAGTGTGCGGGCACATTTTGAAAAAATAAAAAGCGAGAACGTCGCACGGTGTTCGTTCCAGATTTTTCAAAATGCGAGAAGCGTAGAGCATGGAAAAGCAAAAAAACAAATGTCAGACAAAGAAGCAAACTCTTGCTCCCAAATTCGCGAGAAATTCGAGGAGCTAGACGCAAAGAAGGCCCACGCTCTAACCTAAGGCGGAGTCGTAGGTGTAGGGTTTGCGGCCAGCGATATAAGCGTCACGCCAGCGCATTCTGGTCAGGAGCGCAGCGAATATGAAATATGCCGCAGAAGAAGAGAGAAACTTCGTCGTAGAATCTGGGCAGATGTGGGAGCGAGTTGACGCATAGAAGAACTAAAGGAAAGCCTTAGCGCCTAGTCAGATGCACACTGAACAAAGAGGGCCGCACCTGATGGCCCAGGCCGCTCTTGTGTCGCCTGTATCTAGTATAAGCCAGCACGAGTTTGCACTAATATACGAAACTTCGTTACATTTATAGCGTGCACACCTTGCACAGGTTGGCTTGCCTCTATCGCCACCCCCCCTCCCTTCAGCTGTTCTGACAATGGTGAAAAGTCAGCGAAACACCACACGAAGTAGGACAGCCAGAATTTTTCCCTCCATACCGTCATCGGAGTGCTCTGCTTCGCGATCAGATCTCCGTCTCCGTTCCCCCTTGTCTCCCTATTTAATTTTCGGCCGCCTCTTGTCTTTGCTTTCTGTGTTCCCCACACACCTCTAGAACCCACCACACCAAGCTGCGGGCACGTGGGTGCCGGCAGTTCGATTCCGGAGGGCCGCGAGGACTGTTCCCATCGCACCCAGAACACTCCGCCGAAACTCACGCGGCAGACTTCATCGAAGGGCAACAATACACGGCAACAGCTTTGAAGGCTTCCATCCTGCCGAGCAGGCTGAGATTTTGTCAAAATTTTTCCGGTTCTTCGTACATGCGCATTTTCCTAATGTATCAACTTACTTGGAAAAAGCCGGGGGCCCTCTATCTTTGACCCATCTCCGAAGAAACCGGCGCCCGGACCCTAGTTCGGTCCTACACCGCTAGGGCGCGAGAGTTCCAAATGAGACCTACGGCCCGACCCCATCAAAGAGTCCGCATCTGCCCGGCAAGCACCAAGCCCGCGGCCTACCCTTTGCCCCTCGTCTGACCCCTCACCCGACCCAAACACAGCGCAAAGCATAAGGCGCAAACAAGTATTTTGGTGGCCCCCCCTGAGGTGGGTCAAGGGGTGGGGCCATGGTCTGGACCAAGAGATGGGCAAGACAGAGCGTGGGTCGCTGAGTGAGTGTGTGTCAGACTGACAGGCTGACGCGAATTTCTCAAGGAGATCCATCAAGCGGCGAGCCAAAGTTGAGCCCTCACCGCCTTCGTTTTGTGGGTCTCGAGGTGGGTCGGCAGGTGGGTCGGCAGGTGGGTCTTGGAGTGGGTTTGGAGGTGGCTGGCTCTGATGGGGGTCGTACCAGGCTGATACAGGCTTCGGAATGGTGGCCGCCTGTCTGATGGGTCGGAAAGCAGGGGAGACACGGGTGGCTCAAGGGGTGGGGTCGGGCGTCAGGGGGTGGGTCAGAGTGTAAGCCAAAGTGTGCTGGGTCAGAGTCTGGGCGACGGAGTGGGTTCGTTCCAAGCTGATATTGGTTGTTAGATGGGCGGGCCAAGTGATGGGCCCGATCTGGACCCTCCGCGCCAGCGCCTTCGCTTGTTCTATAATTGTAGGCGTCGGGGTCGGGGTGAGTCGGGAGGTGGCTCCAGGGGTGGGTCTGGAGGTAGGCCGAACGAGGGTCATTCCGGGCGGATACGGATTGCCCAATTTTGGCCGCTTGACGGGTCGGTTGGTGGGCCAAGCTGAGGCCGGTCGAGGTGGATCAACAGGCAAGCCAGAGTGTGTGTCACGGGGTGGGCGCGTGCCGGGTGAGTATCGGACTCACAATGGGATCAGGGGGTCGGTCAGATCGCAGGCCCTGCGCGCCGTAGTTTTGTGGGCTTCGTGGTGAGTCAGAAGATGGGTCGGACGAGGGTCCCCATGTGTCTACCACGGGTTTTGCGATTTTTGCCGCGAGCCCGATCGCTGACAAGGCTGGGCCGGGTCCTTGTGCATCAGTGAGAGGGAAAAGCGATATCAATACCTTCTACCATATTTACGCTGTGAATATGGCGGTCTTGATTCAGGGCAGTCGTCAAAAGGGCCTTCGTGTCGTTGTCGTTGTCCGCTAATACGTATCCCGCGGCGGAGACGAAAGTCGCCACCACAACACCGGTCTGCAACAATATTAGGAAAAAAAGGTCGTCAATCTTGCGAATCTCGGGGACGATTTTTCTGCTTACTCTGTAAACCTCGTTGCCAGTTAGGAGGTTCTTGATAACCACGTCACTAACGCCGGCGCCCGCCTCGTCCGAAGCTTCAGAAACTGGTGGGGACGAGTAGGAGAGGACTGCAAGGAAGTAATGAGCCAAGTTCGTCAACGGAAAGTGTCGCTGGCGAGGCAGTAGAATTTTTTCAAGCGATCATGGTCGATGGAAACGAATTCAACAAATATAGAAAGTTTTTAGTAATTGCTGCCACAGCTTTCCGCAAGAAGAAACTGTTGTCAAAGTGTTTGTAATTACCAGGCCCAGCTGCACTTGTGTCAGAACTTTGTTGGCCGACTGCTCTGACAAATGCGTCGGTAGCTTTGAGATGGTCGATCCGTACAGCGGACGGAACAATAGGCAACGACGCGGACGCTTTGACATAGTTGATCAGTACAGCAGACGAAATGCCCAACGCCGTTGCAGCATTGCCTAGGTTGATGCCCGGCGCGAACGCGCCCTCATCTGGGGTTTCTTTGAGCAGAAGGCCCTCCAACTTCTGGACTCTACTGCGGCTCTTCTCGTCGCGCTCGAGAAGCCAAATGCCAGGCCTGATCAGTTCGAGGATATCCATGTCGAGCAACGTCGAGGCGCCGATGCCTTGTGGTTCCTGTTTATTGCCTTCCCCATCTTCCGCCTTCGAGGCTCTCATCGTTTCCAGAAACGAATTGTCCAAACCAAAACTCATGAGGGTCGAGTTATTGTACACTCCTGCTATCGGTATGCTTGGACTGCCGTACACGAGTGAGCCGCCCACGCCACCAGCAGTGTGCGTCTGAACCCAACTACTTCTTCCTGGAGCGTTCCCTTCTGCATCTTCACCTGAGTTGAGAAAAGGAAAAGCTAGTTTTTTGTAAAGAAAAATGGATATGTTCAACAGACTAGCACTTCTTGCGAAGCAGCATACACGTATTCTTCAGTGGAGGAACAAGACTGGCATCAATGCTAATAAAATATCTGTTGTACTACAAACATATATTATCTCTGTGTACCACTTGGCAAAGGCCAGCCGGGTAGTTGTAGAAAAGGGTTGTCGACCTTGTTCGTCTTCCGCCTCCGCTTGTTGGTCACGTGGCGGCGAACTTCGCCGATATGGCCGCGCTGTTCTTTTATATGGCCGCCCCGGCTCCGGTCTCCACTGGAATCCGCGCCCGCAGTAATGAGAGGAAAAGATGACTTGCTCTGTAACATCATTGGTACAAATATATGGCGCTACTGTGTGAATGTTGATCCCAAGTTACTGCAAAACTTAAACTTGTTCGCTCAAAGCCCTACATGTGAGCCATTGAAGTGAAATAATGACCCTTCATGTGTAATAAATTGGGTAGTTCTTCAATCAAGTCGCGTGTTCCCGTCATAAGAGTATCATCACTCGCATCTATTGTCTCACCAGACGCGTCAACTTCTTGTGCGCGTCGGCTGTTCGCGAGCTCAGCGAACGCACACGCCGGAAAAGAGGCAACAAGAAACCAGTGCATCTTATTGTTTTTCTCTCGCGTAATGTTTTCAATGACAATAAGTACTTAAGACTCAATCATGTGTACGTGACCGGATAAAGAAAGGAGAGCAGACTGCCTCCCCTCCGTGAAAGATTGGCGTCTCTCATCATGGCGTCATGCCTAAGTTGTCTGTGTCATTACATATCAAGAAGAAACTAACATCAAGAAGGTCAAAACAAAACTCCTGTGATGTCGAGCTCGCTCTTTTGCTTGTTTATCAAAAGCCTTATCCTGTGTAAGAAGCATGGTCTCCTTCTTTTGAAAGTCCATGGATCACGTTCCACTTCAAGTTCAAGTCCCCCGTGGATGATCAGGATCTCAGGTATCAATTTTTTAATATAGAGTACTGCTGCGCTCTCTCTGTCTCACTCTCGATCTCAGGTATAGAGTACTACTGCGCTCTCTCGTCTCAGTGTTACTAGTAGTACTAGTTGCAGTAACGATATTACATCCACCAGTGTGTCCTCTCTCATGTATGGTCGCCTCCAGTCCAAGATCTACTCCTTCTTTGCGCCTTCTCTCCACCATGTGTTCATTTTCTCATTCTCCTGTAAACTTTTAATAGTTCTTTAATAAGTTTGTTTATTCGCTTCCCTTCTTCTGGTATGATAGTAATGATCTTATATATAACATATATAGAATATCTGCCTCTATTTTTTTTTATTCATGTTGAAAACATACTGCTGATTCATTCACTTCCTTCCTCTGCGACGTCCCTGCCTCTGACATCCAGCCGCTCCTGTGCTGCGGAAACCCGGCGTCTTTTCACTATTTCCTGCAATGCATTCTCGTAAGCCGCCGCCCTATGGTCGTCGACGTGCGCGCGTGTCATGCTTAGAAAGGAATCGGAGCACGAGCAAGATCCATTGAATTATAACTCTTCATCATCTTTTCTTCAAATGTTGATCTTGATTAATTAAACTTGAGTGCACCGGCAAAGGAGAAAATGTTGCTGCATAAAACTTCCTGAAGCGCACTGGTGGCATCGGCTCCCACCGGAATAGTGCGCCAACCTAAAACGTTGCGCGAAGGACAAGTCGTGAAAGTGGATTCCGCATCCACCTCCTTTATTGGAGCTATACTATAGGGAATTCATCTCAGGAATCGTCTGGCTCTCTTTTTCTTCTTGTCTTGTTTTCGTCTCACTAACTCTCAGATGACTCATGTGGAGATGATAAATCCCCTACAACACCCATAACGTTAACAGTCGGTGAGCTGTAACACGTCCTCCATCCTGAGGTGAGATTTCTAAATACGTTAAATGATGGTCGACCTCGTGGTCGTCCACCTCCACGTGTATTAGAGCTTCACTAAATTCATCTTCGAATGTATCTCTCTAGTGTTTTCATTCTCCTTGAAAGCACGTTGAAGATGATGCCGATGCCTTATAGTTTTAAGATTGATATGATTATGAACAAATCTTCAAATGAGCCAGGATAAGTGTAGAACTTCTTTATCGTGCTTCTCAACAAGTAGTTGTTTGATGCCTAGTTTTCCCGTCAACATCATGCGGTTGCCCTTGTGCTTGATGTCCTGCATTTCTGCTGTATGCGTCTCTCGAAAAAGCGCAGGGCCGCCATTCAAAATTGAGGTGTATGCCACGTGCTGCATGCAGTCTGCTCTTATGGTCGGTGCAAGCGCCTCCTGCGTCAGCCTGGACGTCGTACTACCTAAGGCATCTTCAGGGTCCCACGGATCCTCACTTAGGAATTGCAGCGCTTTCGCTTTCGCTGGGGAAGAAACGCTCTTGGTTTGCACGCGGTCCAACAAACTGGAGGCGACAGAGCTAGAAAGCGTTCGCGTTAACAAGCTTCGCGCAAAGGAAGAACCGTGAATGCCGTCATCTTCTCTCGTAGAAGTAGTTGTACTAGTATTAGCAGCACTACTAGTGGTCCTAGGTTGTTTATTAGACATCGACTTGTTAGACTTGTTTGCTGAGTGTGAAGCTGAAATACTCGTCGTGATATTATCATCTTCATCTTGTCGTCGTCCTGTTGTTCCTTCTACTCCGAGAAGGCTAGTCGTATCACCTGTGTCTTCTTCTTGTAGTTTTTGTTTCCCTGTTCGAGAAGATTGCCAGTTTTTTGGCAAGGCCTCCCATCTCTCCCATGCTTGAGCTGCATCAGTCGCCGCAGCCAACAGCTTGCTCAGGTAAGTTTCCCGCGCCGGTTCAGACTGGTTCGTGAACGACGACGAGGACGATCGTCTCGCTGTAGATGAGCCTGAAGATGCCACTGAGGAAGACGAAACAAAGGTGCTCCTGCTGCGCGGATCTGATCCTGATCCAGCTCCACCTGCAAAACTAGGCATAGGTGATGGGTCAGCGAGTTCAGCCTGGACAATGTACTGCAGTTTCTGTAAGGGACTCCAACCGAGCCGATCGATCTCGCGCAGGCTAATCAGCAACCGCATCAAGCTTCCCACGCTGAGTGACGGCACAAGGTCGTGCTCCATGACGAAAGGGTAGGCTTCGAGTGTCACTAGCGGCTCAAGAAACAAGGGGTTGGGGTTACTTGATGTAGTTGTGCTGTTGCCATTCGCACTGTCAATTGTTGTGTTGCTGGTGGAACTGGAAGGAGTGGAACTGCTGGAAGGAAGACTCAGCATTTTTGAGAAATCTAGCAAAAGATCGTCCTTGTTGATGTTGGTACTCATATTAATGGATTTAGAAGAGGTACCATGATCAACATGATAATTAATATTGTGATGACCTTGCGTGAAACTACCGACTGCTTCTGCATGCTGCACTAACGCGGCAAGACGCGGATCCGTGATGCTTTCGAAGGCCTGTGATAGCGTTTCAGCTGTGGCAAGTTCCTCTTGCAGTGGTCGCCGCACCACCGGTGGCCCGGCGTAGCTCCACGCTTCAACATGCAACTTTTGAAGCTCCACATGCATGTTGGCAGATGAGGGCGCTTTCTTGGTCGTCACATGTTGTACAGCCACACGAGCTTTGGTCGTTGCGCGTGGTCTCCGCATCTTCATTTTCGAAAACATCATCTTCGTTTGTTTCATCTTCGTCTGTGACGTTCGCATTCGATTTGTCAGATGGATTTGCTCCGCCAGCAAGAGATGTCGAAATAGCAGTGCTGCGACCTGCGCAACGCCGCCCCCAAAGCTGTGGCCGCAGAATATGACTCGATCATACTCCTGACCGCTCCGCTCATTCTTTTCGTGCAGGATGTTGCGCAACACCTCAAACGTTTGGTCTAACGTGTAAATGGCGCTCGCGAAGATGCCTTCGTGAAACGTTAGGACCAGATCGTCGGTTCCTTTCTTGTCCCGTTTTTTATTAGTGTCAGCCTTCACCCATCTTTCTCGGTGCCCTCATCTCGACCCCTTCTCATCTTCCCATGACAAGAATACAAGGGAAACAAAAGGGTATCGAGATGCTGAGCAAGATGGACACTAAATGTTGACCTTAATTTTAGTCTGTTCCAGGGGAAACCGCGGAAGCCGTAGAGTCCTTGTGCCTATCATCAAAAGCGCGGCTACGTCGTCGACCGACGCAGTTCCTCTGACAGACACCACGACGGCCCGTCGAGTGTCGTCAGTTCCCACCACAATTTCAGGTCCGCCGATATCGACATCTTTGGACTTCCTGGCATTGGTTTCTGCTGAAGCAGGTGTCGTTGAAGTGGGGTCAATGACATGAGATCATGATGGGGTGCTCGTGTTGGACTTGGAGTCGGCGGAGTGCACGTTCATTTATCTGATAATCATGTAGTGCTGGTCAACAGTAGAAGTAGAAGAAAGACTTGTTCATCATGAATTTTTTTACACAACGATGAACAAAGGATCGCAACATCCACAACAGCATGTACATTTGAGTTTCACACTCACTCGTCCTCTACATAACGACCTCTACATAACAACAGTTTTTCTGGCTCTACTCGACGTTGGCTCAGACGCGCCTCGTCCATTGCCAGCGACTGCAAGGTGACGTTTTTTGAAACCTCCTGATTGGCGAAAGAGGATTCGATCGAAGGCAGGCTCGCGGTATTCGTCACTATCGTTAACGTGATCAGCATACGCGAGATGGGCACAGCGCATGTATCTTGCCGCATTTTCTAGAAACCCTAGGTCGCGGACCACAAAAGTGCTGTGTTCTATTGAAGACAGAGACCCACAACTACTTCCCTCAACACTACCTCTTTTCCGTCTCACGACATCCGCGTCCTCATATCCACCCTCTTCGCGTTGGATTGCGCGCAGTCTCGAAGCATGACGCTCTGCCGATGCCAGAACTGCGAGATTCAGCAACGAGAAAAAGCCCATGGGATCTCGTTCATCTCCCTCTAGTACTTGAATGCGGCTTTGATTCTTGCTGACAACTTCATGTATGGCGTTTTTTATTACAGAAGAAGATGATGTACAACTCTCCGTGGCACTGGCACTAGATAAACTACCGCCTTTGTCACCAAGACGTCCTCGAGGACGGTGACTCTCAATATCGGCTCTCCCGTCTGGGTCTGCAGCAGCAGAAGCATCATCTTTGAGCTTTTCTTGAAAGACGTGGACGAATCTACGAATGTGGTTCAGTTCCGAGCCAAACTGCTCTTCGATTTGAGCCTCGAGTCTCGATCGCATCTCATCTAAGGTTCGGCGGACTGCTGGCATACTCTCCTCAGAACCGTCTGACTGGCGTTCTCCCGTCTGAGTCTGCGCTCTGGATCTTTTTCTAAAAGGAAGCCAAGGATGATGCTGAGGGTCCTTCAAGGGTAGCCTTATGTGGTCTTTTGCATTCGCACTTCTACAACCTGCTCCTCCAGCCTCGACAGCAGACACATCTTGTTCAAGAGTAGAACCGAAACTGCGAGGCGTCCTTTTCGTCTTGTTACTGCCATCCTTGTTAAAGGAATAGCGTACTATACCTACAACAATTTAGTATTAATCCAAATAAAATGACTACAACTCTTGTACACCTAGTAGGCGTACTAGGGCTCTTGACATCACGACAACCTCGCGCAGGGAGTGAGAAAGTTGTGAAAGAGATCATTCTAGCATAATATCTTTCCTCTTTCCTGCTCGTCCGCTCGACGTTGATGACGTCGTTGACGAAAAATACCTCCGGAGGAGACGGAAACCGTAATTGTCGACACTCCTCGCGGTATTCCCTCTTCCTGTTCGACGTCTATACGAAGCCGCAAACTGCCGTAGATCACACCGCGCGCTCGCTGAAGGGAATGCGACGAGATGACGAGACCTACTTGGACCAGGAGCGGGGACCAAGCGGCGAAGCGATGAGAGAGGTCCACCCATGGTCAGTGTAGGCTGAGGCGTCATGGTAATTGCGTCATCATGCTAGCAAGTAACTTGCCGGACATGTGACCGGACATACGTCGAGATCTTCTTACTAGCCTAGCGCTATCATCGACAGCAGCTGCACAATACGACCTTGTGGAAGTGGATATACCTCCATAGGGTCATAGGAGGTTAGGTGTGGGTCTACTTCTAGGCAAACCAGGAGACTTCAGTGGCTACTGAAGAGCCAAAAACACAACTACGACCTACAGCTCCTGGTGGTGCTACGCTAGTTTCTACCTTATGTTAAGTTACTCTAGACTGATCGCCGCCGCTGAAGGACCGCATACTATTTTCTTTTATCAGATTCCGACTTCATCTACTTCCGTGGAGCTGATGACTCCATTCTAATATTCTGTACTTGTAGCACAACCACTTCTACTGTGAGTCGTGTCCCCTTGAATCTTTCTCTACTCTAGACGGGCGTGGTCGTGAGAATTTTCGTGGTCCAACTCATCTCAGCAACAAGAATAGTTGCGACCCGATTCCTAAACGCTTGTGCATCGTCGAAGTGAAGCCATGCTGGTTTTTTTGCTGGAAGTAGCAACTCTCTCTCTCTCTAAGATGGGAAGAAGACCTGTGATATTGGTATTCTCACTCTCAGACCTTAAGAAGTATAATGCTCTTATATTAGTTTCCTTGCTTCTGTTGATTACAGTCACTGTTCCTCTCTCCACTGGTGCAACTTGGTTGTTGGTGGAGAGTCCCAGAAGTTGGTTGTCGCGGCAAACAAGAGTTTCTATACATGCATGATGAATAAGGTCAAGGTCCTACTTCTAGGTAATATCAATTTCCATAAAGTCCTCCTCGTCGGTTTTTTCTCTTTAGCAATATCCCAGTCTGGAGTCTTCAGATATTTTTCTGTACTACTCACCGTCAGGCAGAAGTGGGCTATAACGTGTTATTCTCAGGATGCTCTGCTTTTGGCGATAATACTTGTTCTAGGGGTATGCTCATTCCTACAAGAACCTTGATACTCACTTACACATTTTCAGGAGTGACGCAATTGTCGTACTACTACCTAATGAATCACTTACTAGTACTTATTGCACTAGTGCGTACTACGCTATTCCTATTTCCACTTTCTGATTTTTTTGCTGATTAATCGCATTTGTATGATGTGACTAACTACAATCTGTCTAATTTGCTGCTTACGATGTTAATGTTTTATCCAGGTGATCTCGTCATACTTATATGTTCTATAATTCTAGATGCTACGTGCAGAGTTACTCGGTTACTATGCCTAAGTGCTGCTTCGTCATGGAATTTAACTGTTTTTTATGCGTGTCATCAATTGATAGTAAATTTTTCTGTTCAATCCTTTGCAATATTAGTGTCGATACCCACGACGTGGACTTGTTCTACACAACAAATATAATGTACAAGTTGAAATTTTCAAAACAGATGGAACGCACTTATGCCTAACTCTACTTATGACTTATGAACGGCTCGAAGATTTCGTTTTTACGCCTTGTTGTATCAGCATCAGTAACAAACAGTATGGTCTCTATCTACTCCTACCCAACTATGTACTACTACCCAAGTCCAAGAAGTAGTGCTCGAACATCTTTATTAGAAAAGATAGAGATAGAAGCAGACGTATCTTGGATAAGTTTATCTCTAATCCAAGTAATTAGTACGCACGTAGATCTTGTTTTTCAACAACTCGTCAACACCTCAAGGTCCTCTTTTAATCAGTCTTCGCTGCGCTCGCTGCTTTGACATTAGCCAGCAAAGTATTTCCGAACCCCTTGACGACGTCACCTTCCTCGTCAGTGTCCTGGTCCAAAGGTGCGGATCCTTCGGGAGCTCCTCCGGGAGAGGTAGGCGACGCCAACGAATCAGCGCGATGGAACAATACTGCCTTCAATTTCTTTCCCTGCGCGATGCCATACTTCTGCATCAGCTGTATGGAGTGCATGAGGAAAGAGTGGGTTTGAGGATGAGGATAAAGGGAAAAGATGTAATAGTGGTGGTGGAGCTAACCTAACTAGGAAAAACCCTAAAAAAACAAATGGTGAACGTGCAAACAACTTCAGGTAAAGAAAACTAATGGCCATGTAAATTAGGATCCGTATATGTTTCGGGACGTCGCGTGTGCAAGAGAAAAGAAATAATCACGTTTTCATCTGCGCAAGTGCAGTCACTTCTTGATAAAAAAAAACTCTTGAAAAGTTTTCTTTGTTGAATCAATACAGAAAGATCGATGTTCTTGAGGGTGACCTGAAGACCATTCACCCTCACCACTTCTTCCAAAACAAAAGTTCAAACAGAATCAGGTAAGATGTACCTTTTTGAATTCCGACTCTTGTTGTCATTTTTTCTACATGCGGGTGCACTTGATTTATCCGATGGTTACCGAGTTTAGTAGATCACGTCGACGCGCTACTTTCCCATCTAGATCTACTCTAGAATAAAGTGGCTGTGGCCATGCGGGTTTCCTACACAGTCATCACCAGGAACAGACGGGACGGAAGTCATGAGACAGAAGATGCGCTTGATCTAGACATCAACACTCAAGAAGGACGAGAAGCACTGCGTACAAACATCAACGGGAAAATACCACGAACACACTGGTGCCACTGGGACTCTAATTAACTGAAGTAAGTTAACGTTAAGAACCTATTGAGAAAAGATCCCTGGGTTCTTGAGCATCTGAGTTTCTAAGGCTGGGATCTGGGCGCTTCAAGCTCAACCTAGAGCGACAGCATGTGGTGTAGTTTTCTTCTTGGGGAGCGAGCTGCCCGACAAAAGTGATAGCCTTTTTAGTAGATGGAAAAAGTTTGTTGCTGAACTTGAAAAAGTTTGCTGTTGAACTTGAAAAATTAGAAGGCACAAGTAGCCTAGTTCGCGCCGCGCGCTGGAAGCTGCAACCGGAACACCAGTAGGCATTGGTCATAATTTCTCAGCTTCACCATAATAAATCGTACTTCATTGAAAAAGTAATACAACTTCGATTAAAAAGTAGACGACTGCACAACGAAGATGGGGATTGTTAAGACATCAGATTGCACGAGAGTTGTGCTCGTGTTCGACGTCTATTTTTGCAACATCCAGACCTATTTCTAAATATTTTGCTATTGTTCATCAGAAACAGAAGTCTCAGTATAATCAGTCATCACGTTCACTACGACCTCTACTCAGCTAGAAGCTTACTCCCCCTCCTGAATATTAAGAAGCCTCAACTTCCCTGCCTCCACGCCCACTTCTTCATATAATCCCTTTCAATACGGTCGGCCGTGGCTTCGCATTCGGCTCTGCCGAATGTGAATTCAACGCTCAAGATTCTGAACCTCATGAATTCGCGTTCGGCCGGTTCCAGGGTTAGGAATGACCGATGACGGTTCACGATATGACCAACTACACTACAGAAATTATCACCTATAATTACAAACTGTGAATTCTTGTACTAGATCTAGATGATAAACTTTAAAAGTATGAATGTCGTGCGTCAAAATCTCCTCAAAGATAACTTCAGTACTTCAGTCCTAGAAGATTCTAGTTCCGCACTCCTAATGACTGTCTGGTTGTTTTTTGAGAAAGAGAATAATAGCGGGGACATTGATTCGAAGAGAACCTGGGATACTGGAAGGCGATCTGAGTGACTGTTAGAACAAAAATAATAGATCACGAAGTGATAAATAGCTTCGGTTTTATCCTTGTGGGCTAGTGCAGCTATCAGCTTACGCGAGTAAATGTTGCGCAGTCACGTGATGGACGTGGAGGTATGCAGACTTTGCCTCCTATTTGATATAGATGCCGTTACTGAAGATTCTTGTGCTTTTACGATCAAAACTTCTCCCATTTCGTCACAACAAAGTCCTAAACTGCTAAATTTTTAGATACCATACTTACAGACACAGACTAGATCGATGATCAATCTCAAGACTCTACGAACCTTTTATCCTCCCTACAACCACGTTCGAAGCACTTCTATTCGTACAGTATTGCGATTAGCTGCAGCACCTCCCTACTCATGAACATCCTAGACCTAGCCAGCAAGATGAAGCAAATTATTCCCCACTGCACCAATTCACGAGCGCGGGTGCGGACTGATGGACGCCAACAAGAACGAGTGACACCTGGCAACCAAGAGCGACAGTAAGTGCAACGCACTTCAGCTTTTCATCGCCCGCATTCTATGTGCCCGCATTCTATGTGCACTGTCGCCCGCATTCTATGTGCCTGTTGTTAAGGTTGTGGCTGTGTTGGATCGACGCAGCCCCAGACGGCACCCCGACACGAGACAACCGAGAGCACAAGAACACACAGAACAGAACCGCGAAACTATAAGCAACTGGAAGAAGCCATGGGCCACCTACTTGCGAGAAAACTCAGAACACAAGGAAGTGCGACTACGGGCGACGCATAAACGACGAAGTCGAGGAAAGATAAAGAAAGTGACGGAGCGTCCAAAGATCCACCTACTAGAAGCGACTAACAAGCTACTTCTTGCCAGAAAAATAAAACGGTAAACAAAAGGACCAGGGCCCCGAACGTCCAAAGCATGCCGGAAACTTGAGAACAAGAGCAAAGGGAGCGGCTGCCAGCGATTGACGTGCGTCGGCCCCTAAGCTATGAGCAGGGCAGACGCGTTTTGCCTGGCGGTGAACGGCATTGAAAGGCCATCATAGACGCCTAAGCGCGACCCAAAGCCCACCGCGAGGGAAAGCACTCGACTGCTTTTCCCAAGCGCTTCTAACGCCGCCCCCCGTAGTTGTCTTCGACTTAGCCCGACCAGCCACGCTGAGTGGCGCTCCCGTAGCGTCCACGTGACGCTTCATTCCGAGTCACGCTAAAGCGGCTGAGTGACGCCTCCAGCCCAAGCCGCACTACCGTCGGACCGGCGCAGCGCGACGCGTCAGTCACGCAATAAAAGGCAAGAACAAGCCTCCCTCTTGTAATTACAGGGGAAGGCGAGGGGCCCTAGGCCTGCGGTCTATGCGGCGCTCGCCCAGACTTGCGGGGGTGCCCGGGGGCGCAAAGGATTGAGATTGTCCCGATTAAACTTACTTTATGAGAAACGCAGAGAATAGAGCTCGCATCCCGAGTCTCTATTTAGGCCGCATAGATTTCGTGATCGTGATCCAGCTAGAGAAGAGAGAGCAGCAAGCAGATATATCCATTTCTCAACTCGTAGGAAGTCCGGCATGTGACACACGCGCCCATTCTGATTCATATGGATATTTCTCGCTCACCTAGTTCTTGACTACTTTACAGGGAACAACAACAACAACAACAACAACAGCAACGCATAGACTTAGTTCCTGCTTCAGATCAATCAGAGACGCCTTCTACTCCTAGCCATTTCTCCCCGTCGGGGTCTTTCTCATAGCTTTCCCTCCTACCAGGAACGCGCTCCACTTAAACTAATGCTCATTAGCGCTGGAGCTATCTTATATATTGCTTCATGGGATAAGCCTAAGGTTTAGAGGTAAAAACTAACCGGTTGTTTTATATCTTATATTTATATATAAATATATATTTATAAATATTTATATGGCGCATTCACTTCCGCACTTTATGTGTATGTGACGTGATCAGCTGCTGCGAGATGAGCATGAAACGAATTAGGTGAGTGAATATGAATAACTAGAGCTAGACTTCTAAGATTACTTCATATAAAAAAGGATGGCGGATGTCGTCCCCTCGAGTCGTCAGCGAATTCATTCATCATTCATCCACTCGACAACGAGCGAAGGTAGAAGCTGTAATGGAAAAACAACACGCAGGCAAGGCCTTTAGTGCTGGCGGAACGGATAGTTAGAACGTCCTGACAAAGATGGAGTTACCCAAAGCGGGCTCCTTCCACCCTCGCGCGCCGTCCTTCTTTTTCAACTACATGTCAGTCACTTTCAAGTGTACATACTAAGTACGCATGTCATGACCCAAGAAGCAGCGAAGTGCATTAGCGACCGCCTGTGCCAGTGACCCAATCCACCAGCTGCACTACTTGCCTATTAACGCCGGAGGGGTTATCGTGGTCGTCTCTGCTAGTACTGCGAAAAAACAATAAGAGCGGGCAGGTACCGCTGAAACCAACCACAACCCTCCTGATGTCGGTGCCGGTGGCTACTCCGGTGGCTACTCCGTCGGACCTGTTGTTGAGGTTGTGGCTGTGTTGGATGCATCCGGAGACAGCACTCCGACACAAAACAAGGGAGAGCACCAGAACAGAAGACAGCCGCGAAACTAAGCAGCTGGATGAAGTCATGGACACTCCCTGCGAGAAAACCCAGAACCCAAGCGCGATCACAGGCGACGCCTGAAAGTAGACTGTTGGAACACCCGAACACGTCCAAGCGCACTATGAGGCTCCTGAGAGCAAAGGGGATGACTATCGTTGCAATGTAACAGAAAGACGATCAGAACGGACGCGCCGAATGGTCACTGACTGCTTAAGGCCCTGAAATGGTATCAAAATGGGCTCAATGTCATTGGGATATCATGAAGGGCCATAGTGCAGCTAAAGATCTGGGAGGTCTTGCTGCTCATTCATGTTGGAACTCATTGAGTTCAAACGATGACCATGCGAGGAACTAAAAAGAGTTCAGGACAAAGGACGGCACTGATCATGATCAAGGTGACGAGTGAGAGCAGTCATTTGGCATTGAAATCAGGTTCATTCCTTGGATCTTGAGCCAGTAATGACCATTGACCAACAAAGACGAAGAAGGAAACTGACAGAACGACCCAAGGCCAAGACCCAACAAGAAGCGACTAAGATCGAAGCTGCCTCTTGCCAGAAAACAACGGTGAACAAGACCAGGGCCCCGGGAGAAAAAAGCTCACCAGAAACCCAGACCGAGCAGAGGACTCGACTGTTTTTCCGAAGTGCCTCTATAGAAGCTCGCGCTGGCCCCGAGTCACGCGACGCTGGGTTACGCTCCAGTAGCGTGACGCTTCACGCCACGTTGCGCTCGCGTTGCGTGACGCCTCCTGTCCAAGTCACGCTGCCGACCGACGCAGCGCGACACGCCACCCACATCTCGCAAAAGGCAAGAGCAAGCCTCCCCCTTGTATATAGAGGGCTAGGTGGGGGGCCTAGGCCTGCGGCCTATACAGCGGTCGCCCGGAGTGCCCCCAGGCGCTACAGCCCTACAATCGGGGGCGCAAAGAAAAGCCCCGCCCCCGGCACGGTTCAGCCCTTACATCAAGCATGCCCCGAAGCGTCGGCAGCGTGTGATCGGCTCACAGTCGCAACACCACCTCCCACGGGGTTGAAGACTCAGCAGGAGAGCTATGCCAAGAAAACGAACAAAGAGCCTGCCCGCGTCGGCAGTCGCCTACTTCTGTAACTACAACGCGAAAGACAGACGAACCCCCCTGCAGCGCCCCACCCTGTGGTTTCGGGGTCATCGAGTAATAAAGACCTAAAAGGGCTGGCCAGATCTTAAGTACGTCGCGTCCTCAAGAGCTTTCCTCTCCGTCTCTGATTCGCACAACAAGCCCAAAAGCGTCGCTCCTGGAGCTCCGACGCGACCATAAACGCCTCCCCCTCCAACATCTACGCCATTAATAGTAATATGTGCGAAGCTCTCGAAGCCGATTCGACCCACACCAGGCAAGAGCGTCAGGGGGTCACCTGTTTGTCGGTATCACGTTGAATAACATTACAGATAGCCTTTCTTCCTTGAACCGATACACCTAGAGGAAACATAAACCGACTTGGAGCAGGAGAGTAATGCATCGAGTGTCGAGTTGATGTCGATTCGAAAGCGCTCCACAGTTGCAGGATTAAGTAGAGAACTAGACAGACACAGGTTAACACATTCAACAGCAGCGCGTCTTACTAGCAGCACTTTAACGCCATCAACTGCGCTTAGAAAGAGGCCCTTAAGAATGTTTGGTCGTCGTGATCCGTAAAAGTCCAGCACTATCTACCCCGTGCCCTTTCAT